GAATTATGAGCCATTATACTTAGAAAAATCTCACTAAGGCTTGGCTATGGCAAAAAGCTTGACGCGCGCAAAGGTTGGCACGAGTGACCCGGCACCACACACGAGCTAGGTGCGGGTATCTTGGCCGAGGAAAATACTTGGTTCGAAGGCTCAGTAATATTGATCTCATACTTAGAAAAATTCTAAGTAAGGCTACAAGCGACTACGGCTTGATCAAGACTCGGGACTTCTAGGGCTCGAGACATGACTATAGCGAACTAGGCACGAGACTCGTGACCGAAAACTTGGTTCCGTTCATGACTTAACTTGGACAATTTATCGAAATATACTCGATTTCGATTATTCATCAACTTAGAATAATTAATCCCGACTGCTGATGTCCATTTCTAAAAATAAATGGACCGGAATTAATAACTGAGATTGAATAGCTGAATAACTGGGCTCGAAACTCGAAACGAGCAATATTAATAAAAGGAAAATAGTTCAAACTCGGAACTAAAACTGTCACTTTTATTCATATTAGAACTGGGCTATTACAATAATAGATTTACACAATTCAAACATGACTGGAAGAAAAGAAATTCTCTCGTTTGAGAGCTATAGGGCACTGGTGATTATCTCTCCTGAGACCATGGATCTTCTTCCTTCTTCTCTCGTCTGAGAGCTTGCCATACCTATTTCAGTTATTGTTGATTCAGTTTCCCTAGTGTATTGATTGATTTATTCTAGGGTTCCGGCAGAGACTGTTCAAATCAAGAGAGAACCTAGCTGCGTTGGGCACGATGACGATCTTGTTGAGCGTCTTCAGGGCTTCTCATTATTGGAAAAGGAGAGTGTTATGATTATCAATTGCCCAAGAGGATATTCGATTCAGTGCAGATGAATGCCACCGTAGTCTATTCGAAAAAGTGGTTGGGGATCGCAAAGCTAGCTGGATTGGTATGAAACGTACCATGAGTATCATTTGAAAAGTAAAACAACAAATGGAAGTGAAAGAGCTTAGTCACAATTTCTTCCAGTTCATTTTCCAAAATAAAGACGACCTTCATAAGGTGGTAGGAGGGACGAACTGGATTTTTGAAAACCAGTTATTGATCCTGCAAGAATGGAAGGAAGGTCTGACCAGTAAACACCACGATTTCCAGAAACTCAATATCTGGGTTTAGGTTCTCAATATACCCTTGCATTGGCTAAGCATGAAAGTCAGGCTAAAAATAGGCAAAGTGTTCAAAGAAGTTAAGAACATGGTGGTGGTAAGCTCAGGTAACCATGGGGGCAGATTTCTTCGACTTATGGTGACAGTTAACCTGAATGAGCCACTGCCTAGATGTGAAAACATAAGACTTGAAGATCAAGCGGTAAGTTTATGCTCCAGTATGAGAAACTTGTTAACTTGGAGGATATTAGATTACATTTCTTAAACCAAGGCCAATTTGGAGAATGACTTAAAGCTCTAGAAGGTCAATCATGGATAGAAGTAAGCAATTCTGGATCTTGGCAATACCATAACACTGATAAAACTCCTGCAGCTGAGAATATCCCCTCACAATAACTCTTCAAGCCAACAAAAAGATAGGCAACAGTTAATACCATTTCATGGTCATCATTCTGAGGGCATCCAATCGGACATGGTAGCATCTAATTCTATCAAGGAAGGCACCCTCAACCCTCCCACTTTGTCTCATCCCATAGATGATCTTCCTTAGCCTAGAAACTCAATGGAGATAGTCTCGGGACAACAATCAGCTCAAGGTGTATCAAAGATGGTGGATATTGAAAGTGCGAAGTAGCCTATCCATATCACTGTATCTCAGCATCCGGCATCTAACCCTTTGGAGACTTCAGCAACCAAAGCCAAAATTTGGAAGAGATCAGCTAAAAAGGAGGGTAGGCTTCAGAGAAATATGGACCATGCTCCTTCACCAGAGTTTACACCTGGTCAGAAAAGAGTCAGGCCTGATAAAGCAGAACAAATGCAGAAGGAGATGGAAAGATGATTGTTCAAGCATCAGGGAAAAAGATCAAAGTTGTCTTTGATAAGGTGGGGGATGTCAGCCTCGAGTGGCACCCAAATGATAAATGTTAGCCGCGGTGTGGAATTATAGAGGGCTTAGTGGGCCCTCTACAATTTCCCAAATCAAAGTGTCTTTCAAAACTCGCCACCCAAGGTTCTTCTTTCTTTCTTTCT